TGTATATATATATATACACACATATATATGTGTGTGTATATATATATGTGTGTGTGTGTGTGTATATATATATATATATGACCCTTTTGCACCATCAGAGTGATCACTGATTCAGGCCAGACTTTTAGAGAATGCTTAAACTAGTGGAGGAAAATTGACTGAAAAACATGCCATTTGCAGAGTCAGGAAGTATCTCCCCACAAATTGCCTTTGTTATTATCAATCACAAAGAAAAAATAGTAATTTTACAATGGAAGAACCCAACATCACCGTCCCCAATAAAGTGTTCCAATTTGTTACCTTTATAGGTACAAATATTACATGTTGCACATCACTTACCAAATCCTCATGGAAAAATGTGTAGTTAAATCCAATTATAAGGGAACCTCAGTCAAATCCAAATTAAGAGACATTCTACAAAATAATCTCAAAAATATCAAGGTCATTAAAAACAATGAAAGAGGTAGCAATTTTGATTAAAGGAGTCTAAATGCAATGTGTAATCTTTGGACTCAAGCAGAAAAAAATCAACATATTATTGGGATAACTGTAAGATTTAAATAAAGTCTGTAGGTTACATACTGTTATGTATCAATAATAAATTTTCCTTCTGGATGCAGTGGCTCACACCTGTAATCCTAGCATTTTGGAAGGCTGAGGTGGGAGGCTCACTTAAGCCCGGGAATTCGACACTAGCTTATGCAACATAGCAAGAACTCATCTCTATAAAAGTTTTAAAAATTAGGTGGGCATGGTGCTCTGTGCCTGCAGGCCCAGCTACTTGGGAGGCTGAGGCAGGAGGATCGCCTGCCCCCAGGAGTTAGAGGCTGCAGTGAGCTATAATCACCCCTCTGTACTCAGCCTAGGCAACAGAATGAGGCCCAGTCTCTAAATAAATAAATAAATAACTGGAATGTTATATTGTAGCTAAGTAGACATCCTTGTTCTTAGGAAAGCACACTTAAGTATTTAGTGTAAGGAGAAAGATGTCTGTAACATATTCATATGGTAAAACTCTATGTATAAATACATATTGAGAATAATTCAAAGATGTTAATGGTTAATCTGGGTAAAGAGTATATGGGAGATTTTATATAACTTCTACAATTTTTCTGAAAGTTTTAAGTTATTTCAAAATAAGTTTAAAGAAACATTAAAATATACATAAAATCCCATTATTTAGAGAGAACTATAGTAAAGACCTATTCATCTACACATTTTAACAAAATAGGATCATATAAAATATCTTATTTTTTCAAGTTAATATATTCTGAACATCTTCCAACATCCACAGCTAAAAATTTACCTTTCTCCATTTGATGTTTGCATAGTGTGCCACTGGATTGATAAACCACAAAATACTTTGGTAATCTATTTCTGTTTGCTATTAAAACGATGATGCACTGACCATCCTTTAATATACCTCCATGGCAGACAAATTTACTTCTGAAGATAAAAGATTCATCTCTGGGGATATATTCCTTAATTTTAAACCTACATGCCATAAAAAATAATCTATGAGTCCTTAGCTACAGAAAATTTTTAATAATTTTATTCATTTTTCAAAGCTTTACAGCTTTTAGTGAAAATAATGATCACCGTAAGTATAAAATGGCAATTACAGGAATAATAACCCAAAACTCTCCCTGGCCAAAAAACCAGTTAGCATATGGCAAATATCCTTCCACACATTATCTTCAGGCATATATTCACATTGAAAGATGATCATTTATAATAACTAGATCTTACCAAGAGAGCCACAGCTCTATTTCTCCCCTAAATACGAATTCTATTCCTGTTCATGATTCTATGTCATCTTGATGGATTTGTTAGAAAGATCCCCTTCCACTCCCAATACTTTTATAGGGTTTACCACTAGCATGGACTCTCCAAAAACTTGAATATGTGCATTCAGACGGAAGTTGGTAACACACTTCTCATTTCTAAAGCTTTTTGCCAATATGGACTTTCTGATGATATGTAAGACGTGACCGGTGACGGAAGTCCTTATCACATATGTCACATTTGTATGGTTTTTCTCCAGTGTGGACTCTCTGATGGGCTTGAAGACGTGCACTCTGACTGAAGCCTTTACCACACTCTTCACATTTAAAGAGCTTTTCCCTGGTGTGAACACCCAGATGGACTCGAAGATTTGAGGGGAGACTGAAGGCCTTACCACACTCCTCACATATGTGGGGTTTCTCTCCTGTGTGGACCCTCTGATGATGGCGAAGATTCAAGCTCCTACCAAAACCTTTTCCACACTCTCCACATTTGTAAGGTTTTTCTCCAGTATGGCCTCTCTGATGGTATATAAACTGGGAACTGTATCTAAAGCCCTTTCCACACACATCACATTTGTATGGCTTTTCCCCCGTGTGGACTCTCTGATGGGACTGAAGACCAGAGGACTGACTGAAGCCCTTACCACAGACACCACATTTGTATGGCTTCTCTCCAGTATGGACTCTCTGATGTACCCGAAAATCTATGGCCTGACTGAAGCTTTTATCGCATTGCTCACATTTATAGGGTTTCTCTCCTGAGTGAACTCTTTGATGCGCATGAAGATTTGATCTCCAACTAAATCCCTTTCCGCATTCCTCACATTTATATGGTTTTTCTCCCGTGTGAATTACTTGGTGTAGTTTAAGATTTGAACTGTAACTGAAGTCCTTACCACACACATCACATCTGTATGGTTTCTCTCCAGTGTGGACTCTCTGATGGGTTTGAAGCTTTGAGGACTGACTGAAGCCCTTCCCACATGTTTCACATTTGAATCGTTTTTCCCCAGTGTGGACATTCTGATGGACTTGAAGATTTGAAGCCTGACTGAAGCCCTTACCACACTCCTTACATTTATAGGGTTTCTCTCCCGTGTGAACTCTGAAATGAATATGCAGATCTGTATTACGTGTAAAGCCTTTCCCACACGCCTCACATTTGTATGGCTTCTCTCCAGTGTGGACTCTCCGATGGCATATTAATGGTGAATTGTGGCTGAAGCCCTTACCACACACATCACATTTGTAGGGTTTCTCCCCAGTGTGGACTCTCTGATGGATGTGAAAATGTGCAGCCTGAGTGAAGCCCTTACCACACTCCTCACATTTATAGGGTTTCTCACCCCTGTGGACCCTCTGGTGAACACGGAGATTAACACTCCAGCCGAAGCCCTTACCACACTCTTCACATTTGTATGGTTTTTCTTCAGTATGGACTCTCTGATGGCACTGAAAATTTGAACTTTGACTAAAGCATTTACCACATTCCTCGCATTTATAGGGTTTCTCTCCAGTATGAGTTCTGTAATGAATGATAAGACCCGTGCTGCTACTGAATCCTTTGCCACAGCTGTCGCATCTATAGGACTTCTCTCCTGTATGATTAGATTGATAAAAATGGAAAGAGCTCTTACTGAAGCAATCACCAGATCCATAATATCTATTGAGTTTCTCTCCCGGGTGAATTCTCTGATGAGTTTGCAGATGTGAGCTTTGACTGAGGTATTTTTCTCCTGTGTGAACATTCTGATGAAGGGGAAGCCCTGGGCTATAACTGAAACCCATTCCACACTCACCACATGGATGGGGTTTCTCTCCTAAGGGTAATTTCTGATTGGAGCCATCACTAATGATTTTGCCACATTCATTACCTTTGCAGGGTTTCGGTTCTGTGTCAGTTTTAATATGCTCATGACATGATGATTTCTTCATTAAGTCTTCATGTATATGCAGGTTATTTTTCACATCAATTTGTTTACTTCTACTCTGAATCTGTGACTCACTCAGATACGTATTCCTACAAGAATGCTGGGTTCTCCAAAATAGAAACTCCTGATTTTCAATATAAATAGAGCTATCTCCTTTAGGGTTCATTATATTGTTCTCATTTTCAGAAACCTGAATAGAGTCACCTTGTACTAACTGGGAACTCTTTCCCTGTAGACACCTGGTTAATTCATTTGCAACCTGTTTCCAGATCTGCCAGCAGGACAGTTCTTGATTTGAAAGGTATTTTAATGCAAATTTTTGGAGAGTCTCCATCTTATTTTGATGCTTGCTGCCTATTTAAAAAAAAAAAAGTAATATTTAGATATGAGGGCAAGTAAACACTTTCTTCAGAAATAGAATTTCACACATAGGCCACAGTAGAAAGCCTTAATAAACCAGGGGAAAGGTGACCTTGTCCTTACAGTATCATGTATTCTGTCATGTTTTTCATACAGGTATAAGCAAAGAGTGGGGTCAACAGGTTCCGATTCACTAAGTATAAATATGATCCATTTAGAATAGTAAGTCTAACAGTTTAATATGAGAGCTAAAAGCTGAAATCAGGTGGCTGCAGGGCAACAAAAAGACAATCCACATTCTAACCTACATAACATCAATTAACAACCTACGTAACTCTTGCTCAGTAGGCTTATGACAAGTGGGATTCTAATAACTAGTTATGTTAGGAAAGTTCAGACTGTGGGCATAAAATAGTATTTTAGATCCTGATAGAAATTATTTTCCAACAGGAAATTTGGGAAAGCAGTTGAACTAATAAAATGATTATTCTAAAGCCTGGTAAATAGTATTTTAGATCCTGATAGAAATTATCTTCCAACAGGAAATTTGGGAAAGCAGTTGAACTAATAAAATGATTACTCTAAAGCCTGGTAGAAATCCAAGTCTCTGGACAAGAAGTGGAAAAGGGAAAGCTAATCTTGTATAACTAGGAGAGAAGTTCAGAGAGGAAAGAAGTAGAGCATAGTGCAAACTCTCAAAGTCAACACAGAAGACTAAGAGAGGGAGACGTATGTTCAGCTTAGAAAGCTTCCTCCCAGGAAGCAGGGAGCCTTGCTTGTTCTCTTACTCCCTTCAGGTCTCTGCTCAAATGTTACTTTATCTGTGATGCCTTCTATAACATATGATGGAAATGTAAATCCACGGTACCACCCTATACCTTTTTTTTTTTTTCTGAAATGGAGTCTCACTCTGTCACCCAGGCTGGAGTGCAGTGGTGCAGTCTCAGCTCACTGCAACCTCCACCTCCCAGGTTCAAGAGATTTTCCTCCTCAGCTTCCCGAGTAGTGGGGATTACTGGCTCATGCCACTACACCCAGCTAATTTTTGTATTTTTAGCAGAGATGGGGTTTTGTCATGTTGGCCAGGCTGGTCTTGAACTCCTGACCTCAAGTGATCCACCCACCTCGGCCTCCCAAAGTGCTGGGATTACAGGCATGAGCCACCACACCCAGCCCACCATATACCTTTGACTCTTCCCAGTTTCCTTACTCTGCTTGACTTTTCCCCACATTACTTATTATTTGATTTACTATATACTTTCCTTTTTTTTTTTCCCTTTGTCTCTTAGACCCACTAGAATGTAATGGTCAAGAAGAAAATATGCATTTTGTTTTCTTCATTGCTTTATCCCCACTGTAACAAGGGTTTTCAAATTGTTTCGATGCATTAGTGCACCATGAAACCCAGTATGTAACTTGTGACAACAACAACAACAAAAAAAAACAGAATAAGAGAACATGCTTAGAATATTACAAGCAATAAGCGCACCACTATAGGAAATACTTGTTTTAGTTTGTAAACATACACATAAATATGAGCATACTTATGCTCAGTCAAGATATAAAATTATACTTAAGTTGAGGGTGGTGGTTAGAAGTGTATGAAAGACCTTGGCTTAAAATGTTTAGGGGGTGGTTTACCAAGTCCTTAATCAAATAATTTGCTTAAATACAATGTTACATTCTAATAATACAAACTGAAAAAAATATATATCAATAGTTATCTACACATTTCTGGATATGGCAGGCTGAGTAATAACCCCCACCCTGAAAAGATGTCTACATCCTGAACTCACAAACCTGTGAGTATGTTAACGTATATGGCAAAAAGGAATTTACAGGCCAGGCCCGGTGGCTCACGCCTATAATCCCAGCACTTTGGGAGGCCGAGGATCACTTGACATCAGGAGTTTGAGACCAGTCTGGCCAACATGGTGAAACCGTCTCCACTAACAAAAAATATTAAAAATTAGCCTGGCATGATGGTGGGCACCTGTAATCCTAGCTACTAGGGAAGCTGAGACATGAGAATCACTTGAACCCAGGAGGTGGAAGTTGCAATGAGCCAAGATCACGCCACTGCACTTCAGCCTAGATGACAGAGGAAGACATTGTCTAAAAAAAAAGGAATTTACAGATATGATTAAATGAAAGCTCTCAAGATAAAAAGATTATCCTGGATTAACCAGTGAGCCCAAAGTAATCACAAGTCCTTTTAAAAAGGGAAGCAAGAAGGAACTCTCCCAGATTTTGCCCCACGTATCTCTTCCTTTTGCTCATTCCAATGTGTATCTTTTTTGCTCTAATAAAACTCTAAGTCTAGTACCTTCCTGAGTTCTGACGTTCATTCTAACAAATTATCATGGGAGCCCCCAAATTTTGTAGCTACTTGGTCAGAAGTGACCAAAATTATCTGGGAAACCCTAAACTTAGAGCTGATATAGACAGTAGTCTTGTGGAAGACTATGCCCTTAATCTGAAAGTCTGGCCTAACTTCAGGTGTTTGCTGTCATAAGTCACTGCAACCAAAAAGTGCTTCTCACATTGCCTGTGCTAGCAGCTAAGATTAATACATGTGGATGCAAATTACACTGGAAAACTGAATTCAAAATGCTGGGATTTTCTTTTCCTAATTAGGACTCACTTCAACTCCACAGGTATGTCAGTGCCTGTGGACTTCTGGAAATGTCCAATTCAAAACTCTAAAGAACTACTCTATGAAGGCTATATAACTGTTTCGGTATTGGAGGGAAGGGAACATGGGAAAGTGGGAAGTCACCTGTATGGATGAGGCAGTTTTCACCAATGAGTATAGCCAACTTGAAACTGATACAAGGAAAATGATGAACTGTACTACCTGCCATATAGGCATTGATAATTTTTGATAGTTATATATTCCAACAACTGTGAATAGCTTTTGTTTTCTAAGATTAGGTTTGAATCTTTACATATCCAAAAATGTCTTAGAAATTAAGAGTTATTTTAGAGATTCACTGGAAGACAATTCCCAAGTAATTAATTAATCACACTAGTGTGCTCTCAACCAATGAGCTAACTCCGAGTAAAAGGAATGTAAGGTCTACTTGTCTCCATTCTCTGTAAGCTTTTTGTTAAGAACTCTTAGAAAAACAAACAGTTTGGCGTGGCACAATGGCTCATGCCAGTAATCCCAGCACTTTGGGAGACCAAGACGGGTGAATCACAAGGTCAGGAGTTTGAGACCAGCCTGGCCAACATGGTGAAACCCCATCTCTACTAAAAATACAAAAATTAGCCAGGCATGGTGGCAGGTGCCTGTAAACCCAGCTACTCAGGAGGCTGAAGCAGGAAAATTGCTTGAACCCAGGAGGCAAAGGTTGCAGTGAACCAAAATCATGCACTCCAGCCTTGGCGACACAGTGAGACTTCCAGCCTGGGCAACACAGTGAGACTCTATCTCGTGGAGGAGCTCTTTAATATGTGTTCCTCTGATTTATGAAGAAAATTTTAGAATATTACTTGTACATGAAGCATGGTTGCAAAATCCTGAAACATGTTGAAGGCATTAAAGAAAAACCTTTGAGATAGGGTGGCAGAAAATGCTACAAGATTTGCTAAAAGGACTTTGTCTATTATGCAAAAATGAAAAGTGACAATACTTAGGATAATTACCGAGGTAAAGTGAAGCAAGTATCTAACATTTCTGAACACATCAAAGGAATTTACGGATATGATTAAATGTAGACCTAAAAAGAGAGATGAACCAAAAAAGATGAATTATATCCATCAACTACTCACAGAATTCAGGGCGTTGTCTATCATGTTAATAGATAAGCTTTCCTGTTTTGTTTTTGGGGTAGGGAGAGCATATAAATTTACATCATCTCGGAATACCTAATTTTTAATTTTATGTGTGTGAGAGACAAGGTCTCACTGTTGTTCAGGTTGGTCTCAAATTCCTGGGCTCACTTGATCCTCCTGCCTCAGCCTCCCAAGTAGCTGGAACTACAAGTACATGCTAATATACCTAGCTAATTTTTAAAAATTTTTTAATAGAGATGGAGTCTCACTATGTTGTCCAGGTTGGTCTGGAACTCTTCAGCTCAAGTGATCCTCCCACTTCACTCTCCCATGTAGCCAGGATTACAGGTGTGCACCATTATGCCCAGCTTACTTTTAATTTTTAAGTCAGTAGACCTGAAAAATATGCAAATTAAAGAGAAAGCAGAGAAGGAGAGAAAGGAAGTATAAGGGGATGGAAAATGGAAGGAAGATGGTATTTCAAATTAAAATGGTATTTAAACACAGGAGCCCTCTCTAACGATAGAACATTTAAACAATGACTTGAGTGCAATAAGTAAGGTACTGGGGAGACTCTCCACCAAAGCAAGGAGGAGAGCTAGTCAGAGGCCATGGAACAGAAGGGAACTCAGTATGTTTAACAAATACTCCAAGGGCTGCCAACATGGCTGGGATGATCTAAGCAAAGGGAAAGGAATGGGAGATCAAAGAGAAACTTGGTGAGATCAGACCAGTTAGGGTCTTGCGGTTCAGTACAAGGCCTCTGAGTGAAATGGGAAGGTTGTGAAGGCTTCTGAGCAGAGGAATGACATAATCTAATGTGTTTCTTAAAGAACCAGTCTGGGCTGGGTACAGCAGCTCACATCTGTAATCCCAGCGCTTTGGGAGGCTTAGGTGGGAAGACTGCTTGAGCCTAGGAGTTTCAGACCAGCCTGGGCAACATAGCAAGACCTCATCTCTTCAAAAAATAAAAAATTAGCCAGTTGTTGTGATATACACCTGTAGTCCTAGCTACTTGGAAGGCTGAGGCAGGAGGATCACTTGAAATCAGGAGGATGAGGCTGCAGTAAGCTACAATCACACCGCTGCACTCTAGCTTGGAGAAAAGGTGAGACCCTATCTCAAAAAATAAAAAGATATTTTAAAAAGAACCACTCTGGCCACCATTTAGAAAGTAAACTATAGGAGCACAAGGGAGGAGGTAGGGAGACCAGCATGGAAGCTGCTGTTATAATCCAGGTGAAAGATGACAGCATTCGGACCAGGGAGGTCATGGACATGGTAAGACGCAGACTAATCAGTACCTGAAAGAACAGCCGCAGGGTTCTTGCCAGAATACCTACTTCTTTGGGTTTCTGCTTCCATCATCCAAAGCTTTTCTTCTGCTTCCAGTTGGGATACCATATCTGGTTGGAAGGGAAGATGCCCTATGAAAATGTAGATTTATATGTATTTAAGATGAACACACAACTAAAATACATTTTTGTCAGAACCTATAAGCCTCACAACCTCTAGAGTGATATGTTATTACTTATTTTATTTATTTATTTAGTTTTTGAGACAGAGTTTCACTCTGTTGCCCAGGCTAAAGTGCAATGGCACAATCTCGGCTCACTGCAACCTCTGCCTCACCTCCAGGGTTCAAGTGATCCTCCTCCCTCCCTAGTAATTGGGATTACAGGTACCTGCCACCATACCCGGCTAATTTCTGCATTCTTAGTAGAGATGGGATTTCACCGTGTTGGCCAGGCTGGTCTCGAACTCCTGACCTCAAGTGATCCACCCACCTTGGCCTCCCAAAGTGCTGCGATTACAAGCATAAGCCGCCACGTCTGGCCTCTAGAGTGATTTATTTTAAGATGTTTTTAGATCATGAACTATAATAAGAAATTTAGGTTGTGGCCTAGTTCATATATATATATGAGATTTAGCAGAATTCCTGGCTACTACCCACAAGATGCCAACAGCACCCCCCCATCAGGTGTGACAACCATTTCCAGACAATGCCAAATATCTTCTACGGGCAAAACCACCAGCAATTTAAAAGGACAGAATTTTGCCTGAGCAGAAAGACTAGAAAAACCTATGCTGTTGTCCCAGGGATTAGAAAACCTTTTGTCTTCAAGAACAAGGAACCATTTTTAAAAGGTCCAAACCCTTGAACACCTCTTCAAGCACAAAGATTCTCAAAGGGAGCTCAGGTTCAGAGTCAGAGAGCGCCTGTCCTCACCCACGGCAACCAAGTTCTTGAAGTTCTCCACCATGACATCTCGGTACAACGTCCTCTGTGTAAGATCCAACAGTCGTAGTTCCTCACTGGAGAAGACCACAGCCACATCCTTGAATGTCACAGCCTTCTACAACATCAAACACAGGTAACCTCAATCTTATAACCAACCTCCACTGGAAGAAGGGTGGCATCAAGAAGGAAAAAGGGCACCACAAAAAAATTGTTAGAGATTCCAAGAGATCCCAGTCAATTTTCAGTTCTGACAGTTTCTCTCACTATCTCCTACCCCTGCCCCTATAAAGCCTGGACTTTATCACTGTTTTTTTGTTTTTTTCTTTTTTGAGATGGAGTCTTACTCTGTCACCCATGCTGGAGTGCAGTGGCACAATGTCTGCTGACTGCAGCCTCCATCTCCTGGGTTCAGAGATTCTCCTGCATTAGCCTCCCAAGTAGCTAGGATTACAGGCGCCCACCACCAAACCCAGGTAACTTTTGTATTTTTTTAGTAGAGACGGGATTTCACCATGTTGGCCAGGTTGTTCTCAAACACCTGACCTCCGGTGATCCACTGGCCACGGAGTCCCAAAGTGCTGGGAACAAGCCTGAGCCACCACACCTGGCCCTATCAACGTTTTTAATGTTTGCAAAGGTCACAGGCCTTCAGCAACCCTCAAAGACAGGTATGTAGCTCTTCGTGTGCTTTCAAGGCACATGTCCTTTTATCCACCTACTACAGGATGCACAGCTGCTTAAAGAGCACTGGCTCTGGAGTCTGGCCAGGTTCAAATTTCAACGTTTTGCCTTTTACTAATTATACGACCTTGGGCAAATTCCTTAATCTCTCACTATCTCAATTTCTTCTTTATCATGGTATCTAACTCATAAGTTGTATGAGCCTGACACAGAAGAACTGCTTCAGCCTAGGAGTTTGAGGCTACAGTGAGCCATGATTGTGCCACTGCATTTCAGCCTGGGCAACAGAGTGAGACCCTGTCTCAATTTTTAAAAATAAATAGATTTTCAGGCTAGGTACAGTGGCTCACACCTGTAATGCCAGGACTTTTGGAGGCCTCACTTGAGGCTAGGAGTTTGAGACCAACCTGGCCAACATGCTGAAACCCCATCTCCACTAAAAATACAAAAAAATTAGCCAGGCATGGTGATGTGTGTCTGTAATCCCTGCTACTCAGGAGGCTGAGGCAGGAGAATCACTTAAACCCGGGAAATGGAGATTGCAGTGAGCCGAGATGACACCACCACACTCCAGACAGGGTGAGACACTGTTTTAAATAAATTTTTAAAATTAAAATAAATAAATCATAAAGTGTTTGAAAGGATTAGATGAGTGAAGATATGTAAAGCACTCAGAAATGCCTGGCACACCATATGTGCTCAATAAATGGGAAAAACTAATACCTTTGTGACCTGTTTCGTCCCATTTTGTGATTACCTACAATAGTATTCCTTGGAACTGATGATTTATCTTTAACCAATCCAAATAATGTATAATTAATTACAGATTTTTACTTATAACCAACACTGCAAAGATTCTTTTACAGAGATCATGGCCAAGAAGCAGCAACTGCAAAGTCACAGAATATTTACTTTTAAAATTTTTGAGCCGGGCGCAGTGGCTCATGCCTGTAATCCCAGCACTTTGGGAGGCCAAGGCAGGCAGATCACCTAAGGTCAAGAGTTCAAAACCAGCCTGGCCAACATGGCGAAACCCCGTCTCTACTAAAAATACAAAAATTAGCTAGGTGCGGTGATGGGCACCTATAATCCCAGCTACTCGGGAGGCTGAGGCAGGAGAATCGCTTGAACCCAGGAAGTGGCGGTTGCAGTGAGCTGAGATCGTGCCATCGCACTACAGCCTGGGCAACAGAGTGAGACACCATCTCAAAAGAAAAAAAAAAATTTGAAAGTGTAATTGCAGATTTTTCTCTCCAAAGGTTTTCCCAGTTCACTTTTTATGCAACAGTACAAGCACTCCTGAACCTCTAGACCCTGGCTAAACAGGACTCAGTTCCTTTTTCTAAAAAAGTCATTGACAACATAAATAAAACCAAATACATAAATAGAAAGCTCTTTTATTAACATTTTCACACATTAAAATTATTAGTGAAGATCATTCTTTTCATAAATTTGTTTCTTCTCTTAATGACACTACTATTCATTTCTTTTGCTCATATTCCAGTTGGGATTTTCTCTATATTACTAATCTTAACAGGAATTTAACCTATTAGACCTTTACCTAATGTTTAAGTATATCCCACCAGTTTGCTACTGTCTTTTACCATCATGCCTGATAGCTTTTGCTGTAGAGAAATTTAAAACACTTATATAAAAACTGCGCTTGAGCATCTACCTTCATGGAATGACTAAGAGACAAAACTAGAGAAGAGACAGGCACTGAGATGGAAACTGAATGAGAGGCATTGTTGAGGTCTATCCTCCAAAAGGTAACATCAGGGCCAGGTGCAGTGGCTCACGCCTGTAATCCCAGCACTTAGAGAGGCTGAGGTGGGTGAATCACCTGAGGTCAGGAGTTCAAGACCAGCCTGGCCAACGTGGTGGAACCCCATCTCTAATAAAAATACAAAATTAGCCAGGCATGGTGGTGCATGCCTGTAATCACAGCTACTGGAGAAGCTGAGGCAGGACAATCGCTTGAACCTGGGAGGCAGAGGTTGCAGTAAGCTGAGATTGTGCCATTGCCCTCTGGCTCTAGCCTGGGAGATAAGAATGAAACTAAAAAAAAAAAAAAAAAAAAAGTAACAGCAGGTACTTGTATGATATGCACTCATGTCTCTGAATGGAAAACTCTTTTGTTCTGTCTACCTTTACATGAATACAGAATGTCAGATATTCCTAATAGTTGGAAGCTTCAGTGTCCAATGAATCAGCTACCTGGGAAATTTGGGGCAGTTATTCCCATAACCTGTTTCCTCATATTTAAAATACAGACAAATCATCTCCATCCTCACATCTGAAAAATTGCAATGACAGATGGAAAGGGCTGGCAAGACATCTAAGTACTACTAGACCTTAAACTATGTACATGTTACTTTGATGAAATAAATTCATCCAAGAAATAAAATAGATGAGGGATAAAAACATAAACAGAAAAAATATATAGCTCTTCTTCTGTGAAAACATCTAATAATATTACACCATGTCATTCTTTAGATGTTCTGTTTACAAAACATCTGAGGGAACCAACATGAAACTGGGACATGAACCTCTTCAATGCAGAGCTCCTAAAACTTTTGGGACAAATAATATTGAATTCCTTCAAAATTGCTTTTAAAGAAATTGTTTTTATATGTAGGAAAAAAGTCACTGCATTTAAAGTAGTAAAATTCTTAAAATTTCTGAAAGGCTGAATAATGAATACTTTTTGTTGTTTTTTAAGGGCACTGCAATTCAATGGCATATGATGTAATCACTTACAATGCAGGTGATGCAATTAAGTGGAAAATGCACAATTGAAAATTTCATCTACTTAAGTATTACAAAATGGATATGAAAAAGAGTATGGGAAAGTGAAAAAAGCTAGTTTATGAGCAGGAAAGTAGCACAGATTATTTTTGATTAAAGCTTCTCTTATTTTTTTCAAAGACTGTTTTGTAAAATACTAAAGGTGATAAACTAAAACAAACAAAACACACACATCTCAGCATACAGCATGCTCTGAAGATCTGTTTTTCACTAACCTTTCCAAGGAAGAGAAAAAATAAATCTCTAATCTGCGAGAAATAAATCACATCTTAAAAGACAGTAAGGAATACTTTACTTACCTGAAACTTGGTCATTTCCTCCTGCTCCTTCTGGGGAATGTCATAGTCCTGAGATAGCATAACTGGGGAAGACCAAAGAAGCCATGAGACACAAGCCTGCTGTTAGCCCACGTGGACGTATGAGGAAATTACAGAAATAGACAGAAATAGCCCTACATTCAGACAGGTATAGCCATACAAGCTTGGTAAGCAGAACATGGACTGTATTCTAGCTTCTAAAAAGCCTGACAACTCAGTGCCATTGGGCAGTGAACAATTTGCACAAATGCAGCATCCCTGCTACAAGAATTTCTGATGGCAGAGATGATAAGAAACAAGAGGCAGTGTAATAACAGATGAGGCCTCTAAAGTCAAATATCTGGGTTTAATTCCTAGAAATGATATTTACCATCTGTGTAACCTTGGGGGTACTAAAAACCCTCTCTATGCCTCACTTGTCATGTGTAAAATGAGGACATGGTAAGAATCATAAATTGTACCTCCCTCATAGGGTTTTTCCAAGGATTAAATAAGTAGATGGAGAGTTCTAAGAACCAGGAGTCCCTTTCTCTTATAGTTACTAAAAAGCATAAGAGGCTGGGCACGGCGGCTCAGACATGTAATCCCAGCAGTTTGGGAGGCCAAGGAGGGCAGATCACATGAGGTCAGAAGTTTGAGACCAGCCTGGCCAACACGACAAAACCTCATCTTTACTAAAAATAATAAAAATTAGCCAGTCGTGGTGTTGCGTGTCTGTAATCCAGCTACTTGGGAGGCTGAGGCATGAGAATTGCATGAACCTGGGAGGTGGGGGTTGCAGTGAACCGAGATTGTGCCAATACACTCCAACGTGGACAACAGAGT